GGAAAAGGTTTGGCCTCTATAGTAATGCAAGAAATGAAAGACACATTTAATAAAAATAAATAATATTTCACTATTATTTGTTTAATCAATTTTTAGTTTAATAAGAAACAATCCTGATAATTTAATGATGAATATATATGCTATTACTATTTTGATAGCAGTAGAAATTGGTATAATCTTTTGATAGCCCAGTGTTCACATGTTCTGATATAGGAATCCCAGTCTCATATAATTTATAGAAATAAAAAAATTCTAACATTCATTGCACCATTCTGCATAATAAAAAAAAGAAAAAGAACAAAAGGAAAGGAAAAAATCTACAATGACAATGTTTGTATGAGTTTTGAGCCATCAACTTGATTAGATATTATGCACTTGACAACATGGAAATAATAGTTTATTTAGAGTTGCAGATTTAAAGATCAATTTAAGTACCTATCTGTTGGCATTATGCTAAATATATTCACATTTATATTCTCATGTAATCCTTAAAATAACCACATAATATAAAAATTTTCAGAAACTAAAACATGCACTAAATTTTATTGTAAACTATGACAAACATTATGTACATATTTGTTTGAAAAAAGGACTCAAAAGCAATCTAGGTAAATACAAATAGCTTTGTTCTGTGATGCTAACATGTGTTGTTTTTTTCTTTCAAAATTTCCTTTAATGTTCTTGTAATCTTATTTTTATAATATGAGAAAGAAAAAGGTCTAGAGAAGTACAAACCTGGTAAAAATACTATTCTTATATGGTCTAAAATGTTAATAAGCATAAGTAATGAGAGCAGACACAAATTCCTAGACAATAAATAATAACAAACAGAAAAAAAAAGCTTTTGTTTTAGAGAAAATAACATAGCTTGGTTGCAGAATTATCTTATATAATATAGACAAATATAAATCGCCCATTTAATTTTTCTTTCTGCAACCTGGTTGAGTGTGAGGGCTTGATTTTGTTTTTGCATTAATTGAAACCATCAGTTAAAAAAAAATTACAGATGTGAAAATATCACAGAGGATCTTTATTGGAAGTAGTTAATTAATCGCCTGAAAAAAAAAATGAAACAATTCACCTATCATAAACATATCTTCTACTCAAGTTATTTATTAGGTTTTCTAGTATGGTATTTCCTGAATTCAAGTTCTAGCCTAAGCTCCTGGATTGAATGGAAAAAGGAACACTTCCCCTTTGGAATTCGAGAGAATGTCTCTATTTGGCATACGATGTAACTTCAGCTTTTGAAGTCAGAATCTTGTTTCTCATTTGGACCCTAAACAAGGCCAAACACCACATTATATGTGAAAACCTGGCCATGGCAATTGCCGAAGTGGAAAAGAACTATGAAAGTGATTTGAGGAGAACCAGATATTAGAAAATCAGAACCACCCTCTAATCACAGAAGAGTAAATAAAAGGGAAGAATTATTTTTGCAGGTTGCTCAGTTGTAGAGAAGGTCAGTAGAAAAAGCAAATATTAACTGGTAAGTTTATATTAATACATTTCTTTATCTTATTCTTGACAATCCTCTTAAAAAAACAGACAAAGAAATTTGGGAAGAGTCTTTTTTATGTGCGGCAAGTAGAATCAGAAAGCACTAGAATCAGAAAAGTTTAAAAAGATAGTTGAGTGGGCAATATTGCTCAGAGGGAAATTCGTATTATTGGAAGGTGAGAGGGTATCGAGGTTGGTCGAAATCGAGTAGAAGCCCGGTAAATGGAGCAGCCTAATCAGAGGTCACTCAGACCTTCTGGAGAGACAGACAAAAGAAGGAGGAAGAAAGCAAAGAATGTTTACGTTCTCACAACCACACGTGTAAGGGCAGCTCAAAGCAGAGTTGAATTATGACATAATGGAACAAGGGCTTCAATAGAGATAAACCTCACACAGAAAGAAATTCTGGTGAAAGTTTAGAGGAGTTTGCCTTATAAGAGTGTGAGATCATGGATAAAGGTTTAACTGTGATTATAAGATAGTTTCTGGATTCTTCTATCTCCCCTCTGACCTTAAGTCTATGCAACTAATAAATCCCGTAAGTAAGACCTATACATATTGTCTCACTTGGTCTATTTATGGGTGTTACCACCTGGAAGCAATGGTGGACTGTACGAGAAGTGATAGGCCTGGCAAATTTAGCAAAACAAAGCACACAAACAAACAGAAAATAGGGCAAATATGTTCCACATAATATTTGGGTAAACAATGAATATACTATTATATATATATATATGTCCTAATTATAGTGCAGAGCATTTTTATACCAAAAAAATTAATTGCTTATCTGAAATTCAAATTTAACGGGGTGTCCTCTATTTTCTCCTAAAAAGAAGACATATATGGATGGACTTGGGGCCTGGGTAATCTGGGCATCCAGCTTGCTCTACAATAGCTTGGGTTCAGAGATTCTTGTGTTTACCCACCTGGAGCTGGGTGTGAAGGAAAATCAATAGAGGTCATCTAATAGATAGCACTCAAATTTTAATGGAACCTGAAAAATTCCCAAGGTCCCTCCTATGACAAGCTCCTCTTTCATAGATTCTGACTTGGTGAGTCTGGGGCAGGTCTTGGCATCTATATTTTAACAAGCCCTCCAAGTAGATCTATTACAGATCACTGCAGGCTACATTTGAGAAAAAATCTAATTCCATCTTTCTTTTTTAAAAAATAAAAAAATATCCAAATGGACAAACAAAACAAAACAAAAACAAACTCATAGAAGCAGACAACAGATTAGTGGTTACCAGAGGGGAAGGAGAAGAGGGAAAAAATGTGTAAACGAGGTCAATTGTGTAGTGATGGATGAAAACTAGATGGTGAGTATGTTGTAGTGTATACAGATGTCATATTGTAATGTTGTACACCTAAAACCTATATAATGTTATAAGTCAATGTTACCTCAATAAAAAAAAAGAAATATACCCAAAGAAAGAAAATGATGATGTAATCTATCAATATTTATTGTAATACAAATCAAAACAGAAAAAAAATTATTTATTTGAAATCACAATAAGACCATTGATGTAGGAATGAAAAGATATATTTATAAAATAACCATATTTTCCAAAATAAAAAATAATTTAATGAGAAAAATTGATTTATAGTTTTTCTTTACAGTTTTGCAAATTTCTTTTTTTTTTTCTGAGGAAGATTTGCCCTGAGCTAACATCTGTTGCCAATCCTCTTCCTTTTGCTTCAGGAAGATTTGCCCTGAGCTAACATCTGTGCCAATCTTCCTCTATTTTGTATGTGGGTCACTGTCATAGCGTGGCCACAGCCGAGTGGTGTAGGTCCATGCCTGGGAACCAAACCTGGGCCACCGAAGTGGAGTGCACTGAACTTAACCACCAAGCCACGGGGCTGGCCCCACAAATTTCTTTAATGTATGTTTTAATAAAGACAACTGGATTGTCATATCTTCTGCATTTAATGTTATAATATATTGTTTTGGTTGAGGTATATGAAGAAAATTTGGCATCATACAGATATGCAGTTCAGAAGAGAGAGACATTTTAAAGGTATTTTCAGTTAATAGTGGATATTCTTTTTAAGAAAACTAAATGGGCAGCAATTTTCCTATTAGCTCTACAACGACTCTGTTTTATAATGTTTTTTCCAGGCATTCAAGCTGTTAATGTAAAATGTGGAAAAATGTTAAAAAACGCAATATTGTTTTATAAGCCTTTGCCTAGAATTTAAAAAGAATCAAATGTGTAAATGTTTAATGGGGATATTTTAACAACAAAGCATCATTAGATTTTATGAGACAAATATAACTTACCTATGAACCAAATATGAATACATGTGTGTATATATGTGTATACAAATACAAGTTATTTTCCTATTGTATATATGTAGGTATAAATGTGGATATATTTGTATATATGTTCATTGTGTATATATATGTGTGTGTATATATATATATAAAATGAAACAGGTTGTTTTTCTGTTTTGTCCCAGTAACCAGAGAAGTAGTTTCTCCTTCCTCAAACTAGAGAATTGTATTCTTTCTAAAGAGAATATAATGAACTTGGTAAATTTACAAGAAAAAAGTAATTTAAAAATGTTTTATTTTATACCACAATGTTTAAAATGCCTTAAACATGTTCTATATATGATGTAACTGTTCTAACAATTATTTTAAAAATAATAGGAAAAAGTAAAGAATCCAGATGTTGAAAGTATACAGAAAATAATACCTGTTCAAGAATTGACTCCTCAGATCTGTTACCTTATTGTTCCAAAAACAATGCTGTGAAATCCTGATGAACTGATACACACGCTACCTTTCTGCCCTGGGAGAAATAGAGCTGAGAGAGAGAGAAAAAAAAAAAGAAGAATTCTTAAAATCACCCAGAATTAGTTCTGGTAGACAATTATGCCCTTGTTTCTGTCTCCTAATCCACATTGCTCTCTCTAGGAAGTGAAGAAAGACAGGTCAAAGCAAATTTGTCACAAAGAAATATCTAAAAGCACTTTGTAGAGCACAATGCCCCCTCCATCATTCATTCCTTCTCTCTACCCGTCTGCTACCCTTTGCTCCTTAATTCACTCTTCTTTTATCTTCTTCCACCATCCTCATGTCTCATCTATCTATCTATCTATCTATCTATCTATCTATCTATCTATCATCTATATATTTATTTGCCCTCAGCTCTCCTCTGCCCTTGATCTGATTCTGCAGTGGTAATGTGGGATGCAGTTATAATGTGGTTTTCTATCCCTTTAACCAAGAGTAGGCGTACTTGGTCAGTAAAGATTACTCCTGGAAGGTAAGTAACGTAAGATTCTCAGCCATCAATAGACCGTCCTACTTTTCGTACAAGTGTGTGTGCTATCTATATCAACAGGTATCAAAATAATAAACATGCAAGTTGTTTTAATGTACCAGTTTTAAGACATGTATATTTAATTTTAAACAATCACCACTATTACATAAGCAGAGAGGCCAGAAAATGTTGTAACTATAAAAACACATTTTGGGGATAAAAAATATCATGAATAGGGGGCTAGCTCCATGGCGTAGTGGTTAAGTTTGCCACATTCCACTTTGGCGGCCTGTGTTCACTGGTTTGGATCCCAGGCACAGGCCTACATGACTCATCAGCCACATGATGACGGTGACCCACATATAAAATAGAGGAAGATTAGTATAGATGTTAGCTCAGGGCTAATCTTCCTCAAGCAAAAAACGAAGAATATTGGCAATGGATGTTAGCTCAGGGTTAATCTTCCTCAGCAAAAAAAAAAAAAAAAAGTCATGAATGGATAGGTATGTACATGAATATGCACACCTGGTGTAACATAATCATATTCCTTATATCAGCACTGAACAAAGAGTAACAACTTGTCTTACAAACTTGATTGAGGTTTGCACAGAAAGAAGATACTAGAAAAAAATTGTATTCAAGTAGTTTAAGGAGATGGCAGGGGAATCTTGATTCATAACCTTGAAAATTGCTTTCAGGGTAACCACATGTATCCCTAGGAGAGTGTTAATTTGTACAAACTTTCTGGAAAGCAGCTGGGAAATATGAATTAGGAGTCCTAAAGGTGTTGATTTTCTTTGACCCAATTAAATCCGCTTTGTAAAATTTACCCTAAAGCAATATTAAAAATAGGAAGATTTCTATTTGAGAATATTCATTGCAGCATTTTGTGTAATAGCAAAAAAAAGGAATAATTGTAAATAACTTAAATAGTCAACAAAAAAGGGTATTTTAGATAAATTATGGAATATCCAAGTGATTGAATATTATGCTGCCAACAAACACCAGGTTTTCAAAGATAACTAAGAATATAAAATAGATATACAGATGTGTTTGTGTGTGTTAGTATATATATTGGTTTAGTTAAAATACACATTACTTAACAATGTAATTTTTCAATTTGTGAATGTGGACATTATTTTGCATGGAAAAAAGTCTGATAAGAAATACAGCAAAAGGCTAATAATTGATATCTCTGGGTAATAAGATTCTGGGTGACTAAAAGCTTCATATATTTCCACATTTTCAAATTATTTACATAGATCCCACATTGTCTTGTAATGGAAAAGTAAAAACACCAAAAAATCCCTCATGTATACAGTATTTATATTTCCAAAATCCATTGCCTGCTTTTATCAGAGATTTCTGGTCTCAGCACAGTTGAGTAGATGAGCAAGGATCTTGAAACCAATTTCAAAGTCACTCTTCCGGGTACATTCCTTGGGGCTTATTAAGGTGATAAACACCTTTGGCCAAAGCTTATGGTCAGCAACATTCTCAGCAACATCAAACGCTCCTGTTTTGTTTTTTGCGTGTGAAGCTGGGCCTGCCCAAGCAGCTCGATGCGTCATTCCAGGCTTTTCCCCCATTGTGGGTCCCCATGCTAGGTTTGGGTTTTTAAACGAGCCCAGGTATGTTTTAATAACCTTGGAAATGGGAACTCTTTTGCACCATTCCCATACCCAGCCAGTTGCTGTATATCTTGGCAGAGGCAAGCCTCTTTCTGAGGAAAGAGAAATATTTCCATTTTTTAATAAGTCAGTCCAAGTTGCCTGCGATGTTATAAATAATCGGGCAAACAGCCGGCTTTATTCTGCTTAATTTGATATGGCAGATTTGAAATGTCGAAAAGTTCATTCTCAACATAAGCCATGCCACTGGACTCTGACCAATACTCTCCTTCCTGGTGGGATAAACTTTATCACCAAGCTCATTCAGGAAGGCGGCTGAGACCCCGCCTGGTCGTCGCAGGCGCTGACTGACAGAGAGGTCTGAGCTGGCCGTGCATGCTGCGGGCATGAGGTCAGCCCTTCCTGGGTTTTCTCTGGGGAACAGGCAACTGGCCTGACAATTTAACTAATATACCTGTCATTCAAGGGCGAGGTGAAGGAGACTAGACAAACAAAGTTGAAATTAACATGTGAGTAATTGGAAGAAGAAGAATTAAATATCAATTCAGGGTAAACATTTCCATGAAAGAGACACACTGTATTTTAGTCTCTCTCTAACACTCTGTGGCAAATGTCCTTTCACGACCAAGTTCAAGGGCTGATTTACACTTTGGAAGTCTGCTGAGAACTAAATTCTTGGCGAACAGATGAAGGTCACTTGACAACAGTGTTGAAAGATAAAACTACCATAAATTCAGATGCTTGGCTGAGATTATTAAATCTATTGAAAGAACCAAAAAGGGCATTTTGCCAATTAGTCTGATTTTTTAATAGGATGTTTTTGTTGTTTTTCCTCCTTTGCCCTGTATTTACAAATCAAACATACTCTAATGAAACTGCTAGAGTGTGGTTTGTGTTGACTCAGAAAAGAGTTCCTTATTTAAAGAGGAAAAAATAATTATTGAACTTGATTTAATGAGTTTGAATATTAAGCAATTTCCTTTAATAATACATTTGTTTAAAGTAAACTGTTCATAGTTCATCATGTCTTACTTTTTAGATTGTATTTTATCCAAATCTGATCTCTTTTTCTTACCAGTTTCTTATGATTCTTAAGGCTGTTCATGTTCCAATTAAGATCATTTTAGGAAATGTCTTCTGGGAATTAGTGTATTGAGCTGATTAAGACTGGCTGAAACCAAATGTGAGATGAGAGATCACTTTTTTTAATTCAGACAATGTTTAGAATGTATGTGTTTGCAATTTTCTGAAAAGCCAAAAAACAGAAAAAAGGAATTCATTGTTAATAAAAATACAAAAGAATTTGCACTTCCAAGTCTTTACATGAATATTTACTTTGCTTAATGAATGCTGCCTTTGCTTTGAGGAATAGGTTGTAAATATTGTGTGATAATCCTGCACATGGAGGAGATAAATGCATAGAGGGATTGCACATAGCTATTGAGAGGCAGGCCAATCCTCAGGATTAAGGGCACCAGCCTTGTTGTCACACAGCCCTTTTATCCATGGTTTCCTTTTTTCACAGAGTGATTCTGAGTCTGAACATTTTCAATACCTTACCAGGCAGAAACACCACAAACACCATCCCTTCCTAATGCATTTCAAACTGCCGTGCATTAGACAGCTGTCATATCCTCATCTTGCTCTCCTCGTGTCCTCATCTTGCTCTCTTCGCCTGCCTGGTTATTTCTCCTTCATGCCGTCTCAATGTGGGTACTTTTGATGGTTAGGGCCTGTATTAGATTTCTAAGGCTTCTGTCACAGACTGGGTGGTTTAAAACAACAGAAATTTATTGTCTCAGTTCTGGAGGCTACAAGTCTGAAATAAGTTGGGCCGTGCTCCATCTGAAACCTGTAGAGAATTACTCCTTCCATCTTCCTAGCTTCTGGTGGTTTGCTGGCAATCTTTGGTATTCCTTGGCTTAGAGCTGCATAGCTCCAATCTCTGCCTTCGTTGTCATATGGCATTCTCCCCGTGTGTCTGTGTGTCTCTGTCTTCACATGGTGAAGGAAACAAGTCATATTGGAATAAGCACCTACTTTATTCCAGGATGACCTCATCTTAACTAATTACATCTGCAACAACCCTATTTCCAAATAAGGTCACATTCTGAGGTACTGGGAGTTAGGACTGCTACATACCATTTTTGGGAGGGACAGACCAAGTAGTGAACAAATAGTATGTGTAACTGCAAAAATGTTGCTTTACAAAGAGTTGGTCAATAACTATACATTGATAGATTGCCTTTTTTAAAATTTAAGTAACAATAATTTCTTGTCACTCTGTGGGGACAGTCATAGCAATATTGAACCCATCCTAAAGAGTTAAACTTGAAATTTCTTTCTATGCAAGTATTCTCTAACTTTCAGATTTCCTTAAACCATAGGAAGATAAGAAAAAAGTCACCTCATATAATGCTCTCAGGTTTGGAATCAGTTGAGATGCCCTTGTTTTAGAAGGTCAGTATAGAGTTTAATTGGATATGCTTAACTGAAGTATTAAACAGAGACATTGTTGGTCTGAACAAATCGAATGCCAGATAAAGGCAAATACAATAAAGATGTCAGGGTGCTTCTCTGAAGCGAAAGAGATCATTATGCATTTATGTTACTTAGGAAGGCAAAGGGCAGAATATAATTTATACTATGAAATGTTACGTTTCTGAATTTCTGGAATTCATTTTTTCTTTTCATTTCTTTGCAGATAATCCACTGGGCTAGTGGTAGGATATGATTAAATGTTGTCATAATTTTCTGTTTGTCTCATCGTGAAAGAATTTACTTAAAATGTCCAAATGCCTGGCCAACACTATGATGCTCTAAGCACTTTTTGACAATAAAATATCAATATAAGAGAAAATGTTTGCTTCTATTTAGGGCCAGATAGAAATCCCAAGAAGCCCTAGAAATTTTGTGCTGTCCCAATTCATAATTTTAGTCATAATTTATTAACTCTATCATGTACAAGGCATTATTTGATACTGGAGTTATAAATAAAAATAGGATAAAACACTTCCTTAATTTCTGTAAATTATAATTTCATAAATACATGTGTAGAATTAACTTTTTATAATAGCCTATAATAAATGCTATACTCATAAAACAAATGTAGTGATACTGAACAAAGGCAAGGAGAGCTTAATTTGCAGTGGATGGATCAGAGAATCAGAAGGTGCACCAGTTAGGCTAGGTTAGGCTAGGCTACGAAGTCAGTCCAAAATCTTAGCGGTTTAACGCACACACACATACACGCACACAGATGTTTGTTCCCATTCGTGACACATGTTCAGTGTGGTTCAATGAGGGGAGGGGGCCTGTACTCTTTTGAGCACTTAAGTGCTTCCATGGACACTGAGACTCAAAAAAAAAAAAAAAAAAAAAAAGTGAAAGATCATTGAATGGCTCCTCAAGCTTCCATTCATAAGGACCCATCACTTCTGCTCAAATTTCTCTGGCCAAATCAACTCATAAGGCCATGACAAAACATAAAGTGTGTGAATGGAAAGGGTTGGAGGTGTAAGAAGTATAACGTTACAGTGCATCCAGAAGTTGGAGAATGCTGAGATATTTGCATACACCCAAATGGCTATCACTGTTGTCATTTGTAAGATAAGGGGTAGAATTTTAGAAAGTGGAAATTCTGCCTGCGTCAGAACATTCAAAATAGTGGAAAGGAAAACTGGGAAACAGTTGATAGCAATTTTTTTGGTAAGTGGCAAATATCTGTGCGTGACCAAAAGTTAAGGTATGAGGATAAGTAAGGTGGGAGAAAGATACGACAAGAACAAATTGTCACTGGGTCAACAAGCTGACTCTAAGACTAGAAATGAGTGAAAAGTAGTTTATTCGGGAAGTTATGATAGCTTTCTTAATGTGTCAGCTTGGCTGGTCTATAGTCCCCAGTTATTCAGTCAAAGACTAATTTAAGTGTTGCTGTAAAGGGATTTTGCAGACATAATTAAAGCTTCTAATCAGTTGACTTTATGTAGGGAAGACTGTCCTGAATAATCTGTGTGGACCTGACTGAATCCATTGCAAGACCTTAAAATTCAGGCTGCGATTTCCCAGAGAGAGAAGAAATTCCACCTGTGGACAACAGCTCTGGCCTGTGCCCATGGGGTTCTAGCTGCTCGTGATCTTGCTCTCCTGACTGTGCACCCTGTGATGATGGGCTTTTAGCCAGCCCCTGCACTTGTTTTAACCCACTTCCTTTTAATAAATCTCTTCATATATGTGACTGAGACATATACATATATGTAAATGAGTGTGTCTGTGCCCGCTACTTGCCCCCTACCCTTCTTTCTTGTGACAGGAAGGGAGTGGGAAAATGCTCTGGTTGGCCTGAGAGGATGTGGGCTGGGGATGGACAGAGTCTGATACCAGCCTACTTGAAAGACTTTGGCTTCTATTCTGTAGTTACTGAAGAGGCAAGAACAGTTTTTCAAAAGGCGAGTAGTGTTTGTGATTTAATCAGTAAGTACTCGGAGGATAAAAGGTGCCAGGCACCGTGACAGAAGCTGAATAAACGTGAGCAATGTAGTCTCAGGCCTCCAGAAATTTTAAATTCATTAAAAATATTGTCAATAAAATTTCACCAGATTTACGATAGACTTGAGTACCTATTGATGGATAGAGAGGTTAATGCTACCTGCCTAGGAATATGTAGAGAATAAGGAAAGATAAAGATATCTACCAAGCAACGATGAGAGAGAAGAGCGTTCTAGGCCAGTCCTTGAATACCACATTCAATTCTGAGTGCCACCTTTCATTGAGGACAGGGACAAAGTGGAGACTGTAAGAGAGATAAAAGAGCACTGCAAAGTCAGAGGGCTGTACTGGAGATTGTAGTTCTCCAATGTGTTTGGAAAGAGAAGACTGGTGAGATAGGCAAGGACTGGGCTTTGGAGTAGACTTTTTTGGTGTAAGATCTTTATATTTTCTTTGTTATCTTTAGGTAGATGTTCCTTTAAAGAAATGAGAAATTTCCATGTCTGCCCTGTTTCTCTACTTGGCTTGGGGCTGATTTCTACTCCTATACACGTTATTGAATTCTATTTCTGGTTGGCATTTGGGGTAACCAAACAATTCACCTCTGCATCTGAGCTCCCTCATACTCTTTTTCCAGCATCACGTGCCACGGGTGGCCAAAATCAGATTGGTGCCAATCAGCACTTACCTGGAACCAGCGGGAGGGAGGAACCAGAGCCTAGAATTCACCACAAAACCCAGCATCCCTGTGTGTCCAGAGGTGCAACATTCTCGTGCAAAATCCAGGCACGTGGTAGCCGCATGCTGGATGGAGGCACGTAGTTAGTGCCCAATTCCATGAGAAATTAAGAAATATAAATTTAAAAAACACAATGTTCCATTTTCTCAGCAGCCTGACCTAATTATGACCAGTAGGTGCAGCTGGCCAATAATATGGATGCTTTTTCCCCCCTGCCTATAAGTAAAAAGCATCAGTCTTCTCATTCGTTTTCTTTATTCTTATTTGAATACTCCTGAAGTATTCCACACTAGCTACTCCTCATACCTTTTTTTTTTTCATTTTATAAGCTTTGATTCACCCGCAAAACACATTTTTATAAAAGCCAGAGGAAGAACAGTGGCCACTAGAAGCCCATAAGCCTAAATGCGGTGCCCGTTGTTAGTGATCCAGAAAAGGCCTCGTGCTCACAGCAGCCATTACTTGGCGGCTCCTGCCTCCACTTTTCTTCTCCAACCGCTGTGCTCACAAGCCTGGCAGGGTCAGAACAGCTGAATGCATTGTTTCATAATCACTTGACAGTGTTTTCTTAAAACCTCCAAGTTTTACAAACAAGGTGATGACCACAAGGGATTTGTCCCGACACTTCAAAGATTGGTGCCTGTTGTGTCTGAAGGGGTCAGAGAAAGCAGGAAAAATAAACGAAACCGACATCAATGGAAATGAACCCACACATACTCACATGCATCCGTGTGCCTTTGGCATCTGCATAGGCCATGCAGATTTTCTATTTTATTTTAGTTTTTGACTAGGTGATGCACAGGGAAATGTTCAGAGAATTAAGAGGTGGAAAAATGCACTGCCAATATGCATTGCCTTTCCAGTTTTTGCTAAAAAAGTCTTAAGAGTATGCTGGTGTCCTTTGCATTTATCTCTGCAGATAAAATGTCAAACCCTTCAAAAAACTTAAGGAAAACTTAGTAGATGGCAAGGATCATCTTTACGAAATGCTAGTAATCCCAAACTTTTGTAATGGTCATATTTGCTCTGTTTCTCACACTTTAATGGTAAAATATATGACCATTCATGCGTATGTTGGTATTGTTAACATTCCGGGGAAGATGTTTGAATAAAGACATATGATATAAATCAGGGTCTTCTGTTTTCTGAAAAGCCAGTTCTGTGAGACGTTATCAGGTCTTCTGTGAGAAGAGGGCCCATAGTGAATAATTTGGCAAACGTTATGTTAACATGGTTAACTAGTTTCTTTTCTGCAAGGTTTCTCAGTGCTTTAAGGTAGAATGTAGAGTAAGGACTCAAAAAAAGCTCGAGTTCTCCAGAACACAGTTTGGAAAATGTTTTTGAAAGTAAGAAGCATTTGTCAGCTTCAAAGAGGCACATTTTTAGCTCCAGCTCTGACCTTTGAGCAAAACTCCAGGTGTATATAATGTACTGCTAATTAGACATCTCTTAACAGGGGACCTTTGTGTTTTGTTCAGCACCTACCTCTAGTGCATAACACAATGCCTGGCACACAGTTGATGTGTGATTTTTTGAGTGATGAGTGATTTATTTTGAGTGATTTATTAAATCTCTGGAGACATAAAAATAAGTGTTGGTCTCTTTCATCTTCTTTAAAATCTGAGTCTGAAAAACCAGAACTTAGCAGACACAAGTGAAAAATTAGGTTTGAAGAAAATTAATGAACATAAAAATTTACTATTTTATGAATAGAGAAATAAAAACTGAACATTCTAATGGACTTACTTTAAGTGTGTAATCATATGGGGCCAATTGTTTTGGTCCATTGGACCACTGATACTCTTCAACACCATACTTATGATAATAATTTATAAAAAGGCCTTAAGTAGTCATTAAAGGACTCCCTTGCTCTAAGATACCATGATATTGTTCTTTCTACTGAGGAATCAAGTTAACTAGAATGGTTGGGAAAGCTTTGCTACATGTCATTTTGAGTCTTTCATTTTCCAGGTGACAATTCATCTGAACATATCAGGATATAATTCATGGGACATTAAGATTCAGAGCCTTGGCTTCTTCTAGAAACAGGGGTTGGGTGGGTGGAGGGGTGGGTTTTGTACTGTTAGATATATTTCAACTTTATATACGTTTATCACCAACCTCCATGGGGACTGAAAAAGATTTTTAATCAGGATGGTAGAAGTGGTAGTATGTTTCTTAATTTATACTGAATGAGAAAGATAAGGATATATCTGCTGGACTACTTGATTTGGGAGCAAACTTTTTTTCCCACAGAACATGAATAATATCAGTGGATGAAATCTTCAAGAATGTAGATTTCAAGTCAGAACAAGAAGTTTAGAGCAACAAAAGCTATCCTCAAGTGCAATAATATTTCAATAAAACATTGAAAATAGTGTTTCAATAAAGCAGTAGGATTTCCATTGTTAAATTCCATGTAGAAGCTGACTGTCCAGCTGTTTGAGATTTTAGCATTGGATGAGAAGATGGAGAAAGTTATCTCTACAGGTTCTTTTGGCTACAAGATGCTTGTGATACTTAGATTGGTCTTGTTCATTCTAGCAGTGTGAATCAATATTGATTATAACTCCTAAAGCAGCCAATACAGTGGCAGCTAAGGAAGTATTAGATATTTATACTGTTTCAATATCAAGTTTAACAAAGACATTTCAAGGAAAGGAAGAAAGAAATGAGGGAAGAAGGGAGAGGAAGGGAGGAGAGAAGGAAGGAAAGAGGGAAGGGGAAAAGGAAGGGAAGAAGGAAGCGAGGAAGGAAGGAAAAAAAAGAAGGAAGGGAGGAGGCAAGAAATAAAGGAGAGAAAGAATTCTAAACACATAAACAATGAAAGAGGGAGTTAAAAAATGGTATTATAAAAAAATCACTGAACTGTCATCCATAATATTTAAAATAAAAAAATACCCATAGTATTTTAGTCTGTTTGTAATCTGGGGACCTGCCACCTCTCTGACCATGTTTTCCACTCCTCTTCCTCTTTCCACTGATTTAGCTCCTCCGACAGCTGGCTTCGTTGTTGTTTGAATATTCCAACATTCTTCATTCCTGGGGCCTTTGTCCTAAGGACAGCGATGAAGGGGATCTTTTCATTTGGCTGAGATCTAAGCAATGTACTTTGTTGTATGTGCTGTAGAGAAAGACAGAAGTAGCTTGATGTATGGATACATACAGAATCCCAGCCAATAGAAAAAAGGCTTGGCTTGGTTTAGGACTCTGGAAGGAACAAGATTGACAGATCAGAAGCAAGGAAGCATTGGGAAGGGGCATGTGGATGGGTATGTGGGAGTCAGAACAGTGTATGCAGAACTTTGGGTTTCGTCTTAACAACCTTGAAAGCAGGTCCACAGCAGAAGTACACTCAAAAGCCAGCTAGATAGGATGACTCCAGGGGAGGTCAACCAGCCTCTTTCCTTGATATCGCAAGGAGATTCTAGATCCAGAATTGAAATGGTTATGATGGGAAGGATGGGTAAGGAACAGCCCAAAGCATGGATTTCCCCTCACTAAGGCTAGCCAAGCTACAAACATTGCCAAATTCCCAGCCTGCTAGCAGCAGAAGCCAAAGCTGTGTATTTGATAAGGCAGCATTGCAGAGTTCAAGTAGTCACTTAACGGCAGCTTGATTACATTGGGCGCTTTCTATCCAAAAGGAGACAGTACTTTGTCCTTACCGGAATTGATAACATCTGGATATGTGTCAGTACCACTGTCTGAAAGCTTATAAAATTTCTGATTTTTTAAAATTGGATTCTGCACATCATTTTCTCAGGCCATATGACCATTTCATAGCAAAAGAGACATGGCAAAATGTATTTTACTGTGGGATCCACTACTCCGATTATATACCATATCATCCAGAAGCTGCAAGCCTAGTAGAATGATAGGATAAAGATCACATAAATTGCTAGCTCCACGACAACTCTCTCACAATTGGGGCAGTGCCAGTGGTATGCCAGTAAAAGTTTAACAACTGGCTTTCCAAAAAATAAATAAAGCCTTGATTTGTACATTTGCCAATTTTCACAGTGTAAATACTCCTACCATGGCTGATTTCAAGCCACGAACATTATGTCACTAAAAGTCATCGGTTGGGAAAAGATTTGGGGAGTTGAGAAGAGACGTACAAGATGGCATTTCATAGTCCAGTATAACCTGGCTCCAGCAAAACCCTGGGCATTATTCTCTGGGGTACAGTACATGCATTGAGTCGATGTCTAGTATATGATGCTGTGTCCTCAACAGCTAGAATACACTGGTCCAAAAACCAAGAGTGGGAAGTAGGATTGGGCATCCTCACCAACACTCTCAGTGTTTCATTTTCAGAATTTGTACTGTTGATCCCCATGGCCTTTGACTCAACTGTATTTGAGATCCTGGTTCCCATAGAGGAAATATGTCCAAGAAGTAAGACAGGAAGAATACCACTGAACTTGTAGGTAAGGTCGCCATCAGCTCATTTTGGTCTCCTCATGTCAGTACAGCAACATAAAAAGTGAAGGGAGTCATGATCCTTGTTACCATAAGAATCTAGAGCTGTTGCAACACACTGGGAGCTAAAAGGAGTTCATCTGGAATTCATGAAATATCTATTGTTGCCTCAGTGCCCAGTGACAACTAAGCAATCAATTACAATAACCACAGCCAACAAGAGCAAACAACTAAGGACTTGTGATACTTGATGATGTAAGTCTGGGGTGATCCCAGTGGGTAAGTGGTGGCTGATGGAGGAGTGAGAGGAATATCAACTATGGCTTCAAGCTAGTTACAGCTAGGATAGGAGCTTCTTTCATTAACCCTCCTGTATTAATTCTTTTGTGGTGAATATGGCTAGTCATCACCTTGAAAGTTCTGTGAGAGATTGGACTTCATGAGGGGCAAAAGTGGATTCAAGTAGTATAAGAAAGACTCTGTTGGACACCTCTTCTGCCCTGCTCACACCCCCTCAGCCCACCTTTAACTCCTGCAATTGCCCCTGCAACCAGCCAAAGACATATATTTTACATTATATTTTTTTGGATTGAAGTAATCTCATTTATTTACTAGATATACATGCATTTTTATTAATGAAAAACAGCAACACAATGAGTTGTGGAAAAAAAATAATAAAACCTCCTCCAGTTCACCTCACCCACGTAATCTTTCTTAATAAGCTCTTTACGCCTTGTCCTAACTGTGTCCAAAGTTCCTTGGATGAGCATACTGTAAATTAAAATTTCAAAATATCAAAATTTATTTTTGAAAAGCTGTTGCCACAATGATTTTTTGTTACTGATGATTACCTTATAATAAAAATAGCATTTTTTTGTCAACCATCATCATCGATTCTTATGTACTTTCTTTTCCACTTTCTTAAATGCAAGTTGTCTTATACAATGTGTTTTAGAAAGGAGAAATTACAATATGTGATTCATACCTTCAGGGCACTTAATTTATTTGGAGAAACATGCCTAATTCCCATAACAATAACAAATCATGTAATTACTAAATTGTAATGCTATTAGAATATGGGTGGTAAATTGGCGCAGAGAAATTAAGATGGTACGCTGACTAAAGATGGTGAATCAGATTACAGGGATCAGAATAAATAAATGAGTACAGCAGACAGATGGAACAGAAGGAGACTAAGTGAGAGAATATAGTTTTGAAGGTACGGAAAATTAGAATGGCCAGGTAAAGTGGGTCTGTACTATGATACGTGGTGACATACAGTCAGAAGATTTTAGAATTAATGCCCTCAGTAAGTGGTGTCTGTCATAGATTTTTTGAGTAGTGGAACAACATGAGGAATGTGTTGGTCAGTAAATAGTCTGATAGTCTGAGGGAGAAAGAGTTTAAATCACGTAGGCCAGCAAGAAAGCTGTTGGAGGTAAGCCCAGTCTCAGGAAATACTGAAACAAAACAGAATTCAAATACATTTCTTATCCAAGTTATGACAACTGGCTTGAGAGTCTTCAAAAATAGCAGACAGTTTCTTACTGATACTTTATTAGTTATCTTATTAAAATTTACTATTGATACTCTAGTCTAGTTATTTGGTGACTTTTTTTCTCTAAGAAATACAAATTTGGTGCTAAAATTGTGTTTTGAGTATCCATAGAGTCTTCAATTCCTATTTAGGGTCTGTTGTCCTATGTAGTTTAAACATGTGAGAGAAAGCACATTTTTCTTTTCTTTTTCCTTGTTCATGAAAAGAACAAAAGGATTAAGAACGTTAAAAGGAGAATTGCTTCATATGACAAGTCTAAAACGTACTAAAGTAGGAATGCTTGAATGTGTGTAAAATTTCTAGATAAATATTGACAATATAGTGCATTGCAGGAGCACTTTCATGTCCTACAAAAGCTTTCATACTGATGCTCATGCTGTTTTCCTAAGGCTGGTTTCTTGGCACACAGAGTTGTTGATAATGAATGCCAAGCACACATTGACATATACATTCGAAAGGAGACTACGGTATGCCTTTGGATTTTGAGATTGGACATCATGCCTCAAACTTCTCTCAAGCACTTTTTCATCTTGTCTTCTGTGTTCTGAAGGAAGGACTCAGTAGAGGAAGGAGATAGAAGGATTAAGTGGATTAGGTTGTTAATTTCAAACAATAAACTCAGAATTTTGATGGAGTGATCCATGCGCTAGGCAGATGAATTGGAATAAATCTTGCCCATTCTCTGTGCCAAACCCAACGAATGTGGCTAATGTCAATTCCTGCCTTGCCTGCCAGGGACACTTTGATGTCTGGGGCAATGCACTGGTGTCACATTCCAGGGACCACCCAGGCAAAAAGCCTGCAGTCAGCTCTTGAGAACTTTAATGTCATCATTAAAATGCAAAGGATGCCCTCAGAATTTGCCATACCACGAAATAAACAAAATGTCCCGAGCAAAACAAACAACAATCAAAACATCTCCACACAAACAATAAACTAAAACTAAAATATTTTACCTGGTTGTTTTGGAATTGATGTTAACTCCCAACCTAAACTATTCAGGAAAGAGAGAGCTGGGAAGCCATATTTTACTAATCATGGAATATTTATTTAATTAACAGAGACATATCTTCAAAAGAAATAATATATGTGACAGGACCTATGGGTATTAGTTCCATTTGCCTTTGGCATGTGAAACAAAAGGAAACATTTTAATTACAGAGCAGGTTTCTTGAGCAACAGTGTTATGCACCTTATAGAAAAAATAAAATCCAGATGTATTAAAGAGTTCAGTGTAATAAATCATTCAACTATAAGGAAATCTGGGCACATTTGTATTAGTTCATGAGACAGAGGGAAGTTTCCTATACATAAACTAAATGGAAAAATTCAGAAAAGAGTTTTTCTATTCATTAAAGAATAAACTATAAAGAATAAAAAAGCAAAAAAAGCGAGAAACAATTGTACAAAAATATGATAGAATACAAATTAACTACTATACACACACACCACATATATATGAATATATTCTGAACTATTACTCTAGGAGAAATACAGAGTTAGGTTCCTGAGAGCCTCTGGTCACAATATTTTCATCAATCGGTCAATACATCATCTTTTTCACACGTGTTTCTGTTTAAAGACATCTTATTTAACACATTTTGTTGATTCATTGACATTGAACTTATGGCCAACAACACAGCTTATGACTGAATGAAACTTAACACATGTACTTTCTCATACTTTCTCTGTAGGGCATCACAGCCTTCTTGAGCTAATGAACACTAGTCAGCACTTCAGCACTATGCTCAGGGGTCATTTTAAACAGCAAAAAGTGCAAAAATGCCAAAAACTTTGCACTAAATAAACTGCGAAAAGGATACTTGTTTACAGGATAAGAACTGAAATGAGAAGGCAGAGCACAGCCTTGTTTGACTTCAACTGGAAGTTGAAGGTGGGGTGACTCAAATTTTTTGACCGTGAATGACTTGTAAATGCTTTACTTTTCTGCTACCCAACGTTATTATTAGTGTTGGTCCTTTGCATAGGCCCCTTTCCCAAATGTCAGTGCAAAATGGACCACTAAAGTAACGGTTTACTACACACCGTTTTCAAAGGAATAAATGTTAAGACCAAAACAGTATTGCCAATCTTTGCTTACTCACAGTTACATCTTATCAATTCTGGCTCTACCTCTATCTCATTTTGGGTTAGCATGGATTTTCATTGAATTTGTAACTTATCACTCTTATCCAAATTGGTTCAAAGCATTTCTTATTGTAGTGCTACAACTGATCAATCCACTTTGAAGAATAGAAGTAAAACTAAATTACCATACATTTGCTGAGTCATAAATTTTACAACCAATTGATTTTAGGTCATAATAAATAACACCATTAGTATTCATATTCATGAAACGTTCTTTTGAAAGAAAGTGGTCAATTTATTTGTTAAGCTCTGCAGCAAAATAGTTTCACCATTTCATTATACGTGTTCTCAAAGTGTGGCATTTTGGGTCCGTGTCAAAGTCAGCAAACTTCAGTGTTTCAGGCACTCCAATCAAATCACAATGTAGAGAGGTGACAGTGAACTCTTCCACATTGCCATTAGAATACTGACTTGAGTTACTCTGTTTTCAAAACTGTAAAAACAGTCATAAAGAAATGAGTAATAAAGTTTTAGTAAACCGTTTGTCACGACTTTCCTTCAAATAGAACTTAGTTTTTAAATTAAAAACAAAAAGAAATTTGTTTATGCTGGGCACTTCTGTCTCTAAAGATCAATGATTCTATGGAAATCTCAGTTTAAGTTAATAGGTAAAATTACTTAAATTATGTTAAGAAAGTTGGAAAGAACCATTACTTTGAATATCAAAACAAGGTTAAATAGATAAACAAGTAGTTATGTTTCGAATGCCTAGAAAAAAATAAGATTATTTTTAAAACATCAATTAATAAGTATTTGATCACAAACAAGTCATTTAACTCTCCTTAGTCATTAAACGGGGAAACATTACCTTTACTGCCTACATCACAGAATTGTGGTGAGTGTAGCACATTATTTCAGAAGAGTAGCAGCCTTTTTTTTTTTTTAACAGGTTAATTCCTTTCCTTTGTATTTATATCTGCAACAAACAACAAAATGCCATATCAAATTAGTAGTCTGTTCCTTTAAACTTACGTCGTCCATTGAATTTTCATATGTCATAACCAGCAAAAAACATACAAATGTTAAAATTCTGCAGTCATATTTATTTCTAAAGCTAACAGCCCCAAAATATTATATCATCTCAAAGAAGATGTGCATAACGTCTGGCAATTACATATAGCATTCACTTTTTAAATTGGCATTATTTTAAAAAATATGTTGTCATACAAATTTTCTCAATTTGCTTGTTCATTGCCTATGTGATAGAATGTTCTAATTAAATGATCTCAAGTTGGCTTTTCTTGAAGTCTTTGGTTTGTATTTGGAAACTAAAAGTCTATATATATAAAAGTAATAATAAGATACCTCTACACACCTATTAGAATGACCAAAATCCAAAATACTGACTATCAAATTTTGGTGGGAATGTGGAGCAACAGAAGCTCTCATTTATTGCTGGTGGGAATGCAAAATGGTACAGCCTCTTTAGAAGACAGTTTGGCAGTTTCTTACAAAATTAAACATACTCTTAGCATACAATCAAACAAGCATGCTCCTTGGTATTTATCCAAAGGGGTCGAAGGCACATACACACAAAAACTTGCACACGGATGTTTATAGCAGCTTTCTCCATAAGTGCCAAAACATGGAAGAAACCAAGATGTCCTCCAGTAGGTGAATGGATAAACAAATTGTGGTACATCTAGATAATAGAATATTACTCAATGCTTAAAAAAAAACCCAAAAAATGAAAACTTCATGGAGGAATCTTAAATACAAAGGTGAAACCCAAAGAAGCCAATATGAAAAGACGACATACTGTATGATTCTAACTATATGACTTTCTGGAAAAGGTAAAATTATGGAGACAATAAAAGGATCAAGGGTTAGCAGGATTTCGGGGGGAGAGAAGGATGAATGAGCAGAACACAGAGGATTTTTAGGGCAAAGACACTATTCTGTAGGATACTATAATGTTGGATACATGTCATTATACATTTGAGGAAACTCACAGTGTGGACAATACAAAGAGAGAACTCTAATGTAAACTATGGACTTTGAATGATAATGATGTGTCATTGTAGCTTCATTGACTGTAACAAATGTACCACTCTGCTGAGGGATGTTGATAGTGGGGGAGGTTGTTGGTGTGTGGGGACAGGGAATATATAGGAAATTTCTGTACCTTCCACTCACATCTTGCTATGAACCTAAAACTGCTCTAAAAAATAAGTCTATTTAAAAGAAAGTCTATGTATTTTGGAGCCACCACTTATTTAAAACAAATGTATTAGGGCCGGCCCCGTGGCTTAGCGGTTAAGTGTGCGTGCTCCGCTGCTGGCGGCCCCGGTTCGGATCCCGGGCGCGCACGGACGCACAGCTTCTCCCGCCATGCTGAGGCTGCGTCCCACATACAGCAACTAGAAGGATGTGCAACTATCACATACAACTATCTACTGGGGCTTTGGGGGAAAAATAAATAAGTAAAATTAAAAAATAATAATAATAAAAATAAAAAAAATAAAACAAATGTATTATTTTAAGACATCTAATTGCTGCTTGTCTTCCACAATTACAACTAATCTTTTGTTTTTTAGCTTAATATTTCACTTCGAAAATCACAAAGAGATGTTTCCTTGTTCTGACCAGCCATTTCAGAATTCCCCATTTTACATCTATATAAGTTTATATCCAAAGACAGATTGTTGTCCAGCAATATAATTTCTATTTGAATGATGATGAGAATAACCTTATGCTCACATTCAAATCAAAGAGAATTTAGCTTCCATTGTTAGTTCGGATCCTAGATAGGCTACTCTAGATTTGTTCCCCAAACACCTTTCTGCATTCAGGATTAAGGAGGGAACTATGGAGAAAGTTATACTAGATTGATCTGTTTGTCTCTAGGGTTAAGACCCTTCTATACCACAAAGACCAAATTTGCTTTCTGGTGGTATTAATTTCACATTAAGAGGTGACCTTACTTAGGAGGCAGGCTCGTTAGGTGTAAGTAATTCCATAGAAAAAAGCAATGGGAGGAGCCATTGTGACAAAACTGAAAATGCCTGCACACAAGAAAGCAGTGACGCGTTGTCACTAGATAGAACACACACTTCAATTAATATTAGGGAACTGGAAATGGAGATAAAAAGGAAAAATAGAAATTAAGATTTTAGGTGTAAGTCTTACTCTCAGACAATGAAAAAATACTGGGCCAAAATTAATCTCTTGCGAGGAGGTATTCCCCGGTTAAATTCAAATTCAGCCATTGGTTTCCAGATAATCAACACAGACTGATGGGCGTTCTGGTAAGAGTAAAACCAAGATTTTTGTCTATGCTTCTCTTGCAACTGAATATGCTCACAGGAAGCTGCATTCCTCTCTGCTTTTCCCTGTTCTCAAGTCTCTCCTTGGTAAGTTCTCAAGCGGGACCCTTCTCCTGTCCAATGTGACTTGCCTAGGTTGTAACACAGTCTAATTTGGGATTAAATTAGCAAATCCATTTCTTTCTTGCATTAAGCTATGTCCTCCTATTTAACCTTTATTGGTAATAATGGGCATATTTCAGTTCTCCATCTGCCCTTCATTTCTCAATTCATTCAGAAATCAGGCATGATCCTTGAATATCTCATTATCTCTAAGGCATAAAACATTATGCCAAAGGGAATGTCTCTAAGGGATAATTCTCAAGAATAAGAGAAGAGATTTCCTTGGTGAGAATAGAAAAAGTTTCTCCAAATTGCAGGTAGAGAAGAGAGGAAAGTTCGTGAAATATATCACTGTGGTTGATACCCTGTCAGGATGCATGTTTTCGGGGATATTTAAGGCATCCCAGAGCAGAAAAGTAGAGAAAAATCAATGTCTTATTTACTTCTAGGATGGGAGTACCAGGGAGGTAACAAGATTACAGGAAGAGAATAATTGCTGGTATGACTAGAAAGATGGGATCACCCATAGCCTTGAAGAAAGCTTTGTGCTACTGCTTAGCACAGATGCATTAGAGAGATTCAGCTGCCTCTTCAGAATGTTAAGAATGCAATAGAAAGAGCTATCTGAGCTGAGAGGACCAAGCAGCTAGGAAAGAACCACAGCTCAGTGGTGGACCATCATGCCTTCAGATCAAACACCAAGTGGGACAAGAGAAGTTCCAGGGGCTAGATGGAGGGACAGGTCACTCAAGAATCACACTGCAAAATGCTCCACCTCCTACAGTCCCCTAAAACCATGAGAGCTCCTGGAATTTAAAGATCTTAACAAATCTTGGATATATTATGGTTTTTTTAACTGAATGAAATTTCTCCTACCCTTTACGATTAAGGGCCATATGTGGACATTAAATTAAGGAAAATAAAGGTTTTTTTCCTACACACCTGAATTTTGTGGAATTAAATTCAAACCATTCTAGAAATATTAAATGAGTGGAGTTCTATTCTTTAAGGACTTATAGAACAATTCACTTTTCCACATAACTTCACAAAAACAGCTATTATGACCTTCTCCCTTTCTTTCCTACCAAAGTCTTCTCTTCTGGAGACAAACGATCTTATTTCCCTCAACTGTTCCTGTGACACATGGTTTTGTGTTGACTTTCCATTGCCTTTTTCTAAATATACTTGTTCCTTTTAAAGAAAAGTCACCAAATTGCTCATAATAATCCAAGTTGGTCTAACAAATTAAGGGTAAAGTGCAGCTGGCATTTTTCTTCTTTAAAACTCTATAAAAAAAATAAAACTCTATACTCCTGTAGCATGAATAAAATCTAAGATTAATTATCCTGGTTACCACACTTTACTGTGGATTCCCATTGATTTCATCATTAGTTAATGCCCTTAGGTCTTCTCCTTAGAGGCTGTTAATAAATAATATCTCCCTCCCTGTACCTATGAAGTTTTTTTTAAATAACATTCAGGATTTATATTTATTACTATTAATGTTCATTCTGTTACACATTAATCTATATATATATAGTTCCTTAGTATTGGCTAAATTAATAATTTGGTAATAATATGCTTCATCACTCCCTCATTAAATGCATAATCATTTATTCACAAAGGCAGCTAGTTGGCAAGAATTTGAGAAAGAGGATAAAATTGAATGTGGAATTAAATAAAGGACCGACTTGTCATTGCTCTTACTGCATTTGCCATTGTTTTTAGTTTTGAGTTTAGTGGGAAGTGGAGGCAAGTGGAATAGACGATTTAGAGGACATTTTACTTCACCGAAGTACTGCATCAACCAAGTAAGAATACATAATGATATTCTTTTCATTGTTACATAATGAAAGCCTTTACAGAAATAGAACATTTTAGAGGTGCACATGCCTTTTGATACAATAAATCTGCAGAGTCAAGGGGGTACAGAAGGTTGAACTTATTCATGCATTTGTCCAAGGGCAAAGAGCTATTTAGTAAAAGATATATGTCTAGAAATGTTTAACTTATAATAAAGTATTCTTCCAATTACTTTGTCAATCCTTCTGGTTCTATAAAGACTAAATCCAATGACTTTTTACCCCGTAACTTCTAATACAATTGTAATGTTCACCATTAACCCTCTCTTCACCAAAATAAATATTTGCTATTCCTTAAATTTTATTCTTAAGAGATCATTTCCAGATCATTCACTCTTCTGATTTCATTTTTCTAGATGGTCTCCAGTTGGGGATTACCCAACTGAAATACATAACATATTTGAAAGCAGAATATTAAGTGTTAAACATACAACTTTTTGAAAAATAGGAGCAAGATAGTCCAGCACATATTAGTAGCAGATCTACAGCCTATTGTGCAAAATGCAGACATCTATGCATATTTCTTTTTCCAACTGCTCAAGTTAGCATTTCAAATCACAATGTCGTGCATTCACTTCAATATTCTTCTACTAAAGATGGAAGAGAAGGCTTGACGGAAGCACACTAAAGCAAAATTAAAAACCCCAGACAAGTTGCTTTGCTGAGAAAAAATGCCCAATCTGTGGCAGATTTTGTTTAAGTTTGGCCTTATTTGCTATTTTCAGCAGTCTAAAGTGGCATGTTCGAGAATGATATTAATGGAAGCTGTTAAGGGATTTTCTAATGAAAGCCGAACACATATTGTGACAATGGCTAAATGTCTCTAAGACAGATTTAAAGTCTCTAAGAATCTGGTAGAACTTTTTCTACAATATAATCTGCCATATGGCAAAGACTCATAATTTGATTGCTTTATTTCTAATAAAAAATACCTTATGATCATATATGGTTATATGTAATCAGAGATATGTAAATGTGCTAAGGTTGCAAAACCACTAAGTCACTTGTTTATTAATGACAGAGATCATGCATTGTTTGTGAGATCATAGAATCAACGTGGGAAGCATTCAAGTTCTAAACCATGAAAATGTTTAGAACTTAAATAAAACGGTTCTTTATTGACCACAATATTTTCTCTACTCCCCCATCCTTCCAACCCAAGATTAATTACTTGTTTAAAGCTTAGGATTCATTCTCAAACTTCTCTGTAAGACGCTTCATCCATGATCTTTTCTTATATATCTTCAAGCAGCTCCTCTCTACTGTTTCCTTTCCCACAACTTAGAAATAGTTTTATCTCCAACACAAAGCGAACAACAAAACTGAAAAAAAACTCTCTTCTCTCCTCTTAATATGAGTATAAATTACTTCAACATTTTGGAGGGTAATCTGAATAGATCTATTAAAATTTAAACTTAAAGTTATTTTTGTGCAGAAATTCTATTTCTACTGTTATATTTACATAAATCATATGTACAAAGGAATAGCAGTGTGAGGATTCCACAGACCCATTCCTCAATGAAACAACTGCAACAAGTGACCATTATTTTAAAAAATGAAAACGAAAACAATGATTGAGAAAGTCTGAATATTGTCCTAAGACATGAAGAAACAGTGGATGAAAGAACACGTATTTAAGAAAATTTGCTAAATCTCAGTGAGAATACCAAGTCTGTGGCACTTGAGCTACAACTTGCTCTCTCCCCGCCACCCAGCT